TGTCTCTTAAAAGCCACCAGAATTTGTCTCTTAAAAGCCACCAGAATTTGATAGAAACATTAAAATTCATATAATCTAGAGCTCCACAAACTTGAACATATCTTTGTGTCCAATCCTAAACAGTACTGAGAAGCATTTCAAATAGTCAGCATCCAAACTCAAACAGCTCATTTACACATATTTCCTTCAGACTTGGTCTGTTAGACATCCTTGGAGTCCACTTACTGCGCTGATCTGCTTGTAAGATAGGTGGCAGAATTGGGTGAGCGGAAGGCTGTGGATGTATTCTACCTGGACTTCAGCAAAGTCTGTCTCCCATGGTATTCTTCTGGAAAAGCTGTCAGCCCACAGCTTGGACAGGTGCACTCATCGCTGGGTTAAAAACTGGATGGATGACTGGGCTCAGCGTGTGGTGGTGAATGGAACTAAATCCAGTTGTTGGATGGTCACTAGTGATGTTTCCCAGGGCTCAGTATTGGGCCCAGTCCTGTCTAATATCTATCGATGATCTGGACGAGGGGATCAAGTGCACCCTCAGGAAGTTCACAGATGATACTAGAGGCTGGAAGTGTTGATCTTCAGGAAGGTAGGAAGACTCTGCAGAAGGATATGGGCAGGCTGAATCGATGGGCCAAGGCCAGTTGTCTGAGGTTCAACAAGGCCAAGTGCTGGGTCCTGCCCTTGGGTCACAACAACCCCCTGCAGTGATACAGGCTGCGGGAAGAGTAGCTGGAAGACAGCCTGGCGGAAAAGGACCCGGGAGTGCTGGTTGACAGCGGTTGAAGATGAGCCAGCAGTGCACAGGTGGCCAAGAAGGCCAATGGCATCCTGGCCTGTATCGACAACAGTGTGGCCAGTAGGTCTAGTAAAGTGATTGTCCCCCTGTACTCGGCACTGATGACACTGCACCTCGAGTTCTGTGTTTTGGGCCCCTCACTATAAGAGGGTTCAGTGTGGACATCAGAAGGAATTTCTTCATGGAAGGGTTTGTTAAACACTGGAATGGACTGCCCGGGGATGTGGTGGAGTCACCATCCCTGGAAGCGTTCAAGAAAAAATTGAATGTGGCACTTAGTGGTAAGGTCTAATTGACAAGGTAGTGATCAGTCAATGATTGGACTCAATGATCTTGGAGGTCTTTTCTGATCTAAATGATTCTGTGATTCTGTGACTTGCCTTTTGTGTTATGGCTTAGGACATGTAGTATTTTCCTCAGCAGTAGGAATGCAAATATGTGCCTCCCTTTCACGGACTGTCTTAACCACCAACCTGTAGTTCACATAAGGAGTGGGAGTTTTGTTTTGTTTTGTTTGTTTTTTTTCTGCTTCACAACTTTATGGTTCTTATTGCATCATATGTACAGCTACAAGATAAGCAGTCTTGGCAAAAGCAAATGGAATGTAAACTGCGTCTCTGTGAGCTCCCTGATGCCTAGACCAGAATTTCATGGATTTTTTGTCATTATGATCCACACAATTTCCTCTGGATTACTTTGTAAACATCATCACCATGGGTGTTTTAAACAAGAAAAGTGTCTTCCTTTCAGTAATAGGTAGGTACTTGTAATTTGGAGTGTGTTTTCGTCTGTGATCAAAAATAGAGAGAGGTATTTTACTGCAGGTAAAACATCTAAACCACAAAGAAGGTTTTATATAATTGGCTTATTCCAGGGAGCAGCTTAAATGAAGGAAGGAATAGCTGGTGTCAGGGAGGAAATGCATGGGAACATCTTAAACTGGCTTAGCTGTCTGAAGACAAGACAATGTATCATGTAACTGCACTTTAATACAGATGTTTGGATTCCTTTGTATTTCTTTGAGGGAGGAGCTGGTCAAGTGCTTAAGTAGTTCTGCAACACTTCTAAACTTTTTAGATGTGAAATTACAATCTGTTGGACTGTTGAGTCCTTCAAGTCCCTGTCAAAATTACACAGACTCACCAATACAAAGAAAATTAATTGATATGGAAAAGTATTAAAATACATTATATAGTCCCAAACATAGCTACATATTGTCTTACCCAGCAATTAAGGTATTAAAGTAAGGTTATATATGAAAAAAAAACCCAAAACCTAACAAAAACCTATTTACATATGAATCAAAAGATGTTAAGTACTTTGGAGAGAAGTCTGTGGGTTACTTTTTTCTTTTTTCCTTTTCCCTCCAAGAACAGCTTGAAAACAAAAGCATAAATTCATCACCCTTGGCCAAAGAGTTCATATTCAGAAAGGCATTTTGGGAGGAATTAATCCTTCTCCCTGCCATTATGCACTTGGATCTCAAGCGCATACCACATGCTTTCCTGACCTGGGACCTCTGTCAGCACATAAATATGGAGGAAAACAGGTAAGATTATAAAGTGAGTTTTAAATAATTGCTTAATGTAGAAGGGTGGGAAGGTGGGGGAAAGCTGCTTAAGGAAGATCGGTGTATGATAGATACTTGCAGGTGGTATGTGCGTGTGTTTGCTGTTGTCCTTCTTGAGAAGTCCTTGCCAAGAGAGATTATATGCATCAAATTATGTTCCCCTGATTTCATTTAAAATTAAACTGTTCGATTAATTTGTCTACATTCAAATGGCATAAACTCAATTAAAATGAGTTTGCTGCCTTTATTTGCAAAGAGCGCTCCTTCTACTTTTCTCTGAACTATTTAATGTTTTCTTTTTAATGTCTTATTTTCTTTTTAATGTCTTGTTTTCTTTTTAGTTGTCTTTTAAATATGTGCTCACCTGCTTCAATGGATCCAAAGCTACTAAGAAAAACACCCCTAAATATGTAACAGATGCAGAGGTGAATATAAGTGGAAACAGTTAAATAAGGGAAGCAGACCCAGAGCTGTCATCAAGCTCTTCACAGTCACTAGATTTTTTTCACCTGCTCATGCAGTGCTTGCTCAAGACCTGTTGGCAGTGACTATATATTTCATCCCTCACCATTTTTTCCCCCTCTACCTCACAGGATTTTTCTGAAAGTTTGTGACTGTATTAGATTCATCCTTAAATCCTGCTAAATGTGCTAAACAATGTAAAGTGGTTGCCATTAAAAAGACAGGTTTATGTGCTGCCGATCTTTTAACTCAAGCCTCCTTCTAAAGTTTGTCCTTGGAGATTCTGTGGAATCCTTCCAACTTATGAGAAACTGGTGTGGAATGGTGAGAGACCACTGAAGTGCTAGGAGTTCATTGGTTTGTTTTTGTATACAAACAAAATGAATTTTGTGAAGAAGTGGCAAACATTTTATGCAGTGTCTTGAGTCTGTGGCATGGTAATCATAGAGATACCATGATCATATGTGTAAACTTGAGAGCAAAAGAAATGGCGTTTATATTTTTTCAAAAATGTTTTTGAAAGCAATTGATTCTTGCTGTTCTCTTGTTCCATATGTGAGAAGTGAGTTTACAGAGATTTTTCTAGATGTGTGAAGAAATTTCTGGGCAAGATGGCTTTAAGCAAGGTGCAGAGAAGTTTTGATTTGATTACAAAAATAAGTATTCCAGAAATCATAATTTCATGTGCATTCCTTTTCTTCCAAGAGTGTTCTCAGATTCTTTTAAATGCATCAGGCTTTGTTGCCTTATGTACTTTGTGGATACAAAAAAGGAAAGTAGAGGCTTTCAAAACAAACTTAGAATCTAAGTGATGTGAAATAATAAAGTCAGTTGCATTCTTCATTGTGAATTCCATTTGTTGGTTGCAATAATGTAGTTGGACTGTAACTTATGGGGGGAGGACCTTCTCGGTGGCACACCAGCATGATTTTATTAAGTTAAAACAGAACACTTATAAGGGATTCGTCAGTTCAGTTTCACTTAAGTTCTGCTACGTGTCCTACAGTGCTTGGCAGCACAATGCTGGAGAGTGAAATAAGCTATAAAAACAGTTATCTTTTTAGGGGCTTTTTCAAGGACACGTGATATGAATGCCTCTGTTGGCAGCATAGAGAGCATATCCCCAATTCCCTACCAGAGAGTACAGACAGAAAAACAGTTTTGGTCTCCTTCGCTTTCTCTGTCCTCTTTTCTCTATCCCACGTGAAGTGAAATGCAGTACTCCAACAGTCACAGCATTTTTTCCCAGCTAAATTAAACAATACCATTTCTGCAATTGATGGTGCACGTTCAAAGGTGTTTTGTAGTTTGTGGTGCTTACTGAATTGATCTGTCTATGTTCAGTATGACTTTGATTTTCTTTCCAGAACTGAGCTGCTGGGTCCTCTACTTTTATTCAACAGACCACTTGAAATCACACATATTTCTTTTTTACGCAATCTAGTGGTCACTTGCCTGTACAGAGACAGAACAGGACAATAGTGAAAGTTAGTTGGTTGGTTCATGTTATATTGTGCAATTACTTTCCCTCTGCTCAATATAAGCCTCTAAATATAAAGTTCACCTAGCTCTGCTGTAGAGAGACCGGTTTCTCTGTTTGTGCATGAGTGCTGTGTATCAGGCATATAGACAAATTATAAGTAGAACTTTATTCTCCTTTGTTTGCAGCCTCATTAATTCTATATGGTTCAGAGTTTTAAGTGTGCATAGAAATAACCATTCACTAAAACACATGCATCCAAGCACTGACCTCAGTTACATCACTGTAAATCTAGATGGTAACTGTTATTTGTTTTTATACCAGTGCTATTTAAATAAAAGGAGTGATTTATTAGGGATGAACAGAGTTTTTATGGCCATGTCAGTCTTGCACATGTTTATAAGGTTGTTTAGGTATCAATACTCACAAGTTTAACTCTTTGTTTTATTATGTGTAAAGAAGTCTGGAGCAGGTCATTCCTTACACAGTAAGTGAATGGTATTTAAGAGAATATTAAAGTCCCGTTATTTGAGGAAATGGCTTGTTGGATTTTCTTTAAAGTCTCTGACCTCCTGTATAGCCCTTAATTCAACTAATTTATTATTTTTTATGCTATATTTTTGTCTGATATGTATCACTATTGCATGAGAATATCCTTGTCTTAAAGGAAGTTTAGCAAAGTGTTAGCAAAACAGTGAACGTGTTTGTAATTTCTCTCAGGGATATAGACTTGTAATTGTTTGGTGTGATACATTTTCTGGACACCTGCAGAAATTATAACAAGAAGGAAGGGAGGCAGAAAGAAAACTTGTTTTGGGGTATTGATCGTGATACAGAATTAATGCTGCTGCTTGGTCTATTCTTGTCTTTTCATTCATAATTTTCTGTTGTTTCAAGCTGTACTGAAAAGGAGAGAGATAAAGACATTTGCATATGTAGAAAGTATAAAGAATAATATATGTGAAGAAAAACACTTCAGTCTATGAAAACTTTTGTCTTGCTTAGACAGTTTAAATATTTAATGAGCAGTTAGACAGTTTAAATATTTAATAAAATACTGTGATCTTATGTCTTTTGAATAGTGTCTAAATAAATTAACATTGTGGGGTATAGTTAATTACTTTATTAATTAATGCTTTGAACATTGTAAACATTCTCTAATGTTCAAAAATGCAACTCTTCTGAGAAAACTGCCAGTAAAATAATTTGAATTTAGAAGTCACAGAAAAGGCAGGAATGACTGCTCTTATAAGGCCTGATACTGCACCACCGAAGTCTGTGGCAATATTGTCTTGTGCACCAATCACTTAACTTTGAATAAACTGTACAATTTCTCTTTAAAAGATCATCACAGTCATTTCATATTTAGGAGAATTTGAAGGCTCAAACTATATTTGGGAATCTCAGCAGAACAAAATTGTAACTTTTAGGAGGAATGCTTAAAAAATAAATCCTTTAAAGAAAGTTACTGGTTTCTGCATCCTGAAAAACTGTTCAATGTGCAAGAGTATAGCACTGAAGGTATTTTGTGTGCCAGTAATACAAGCAACATGTAGAAAGTAGGGATTTTCCTGAGATACACGTTTGAATAAATGCAAAGTCAAAGCCCTAAAGCAACTCAGAATTACTTAGCTCTCTTGATGTCTACAGCTTTTCCTAATAGACATTACTTTTACTTACCTGAAAGTGGTTATTCTTACCTTGACACACATATATAAAACTTTTATGAGTTTCCAAGAATCTGTGAGAAATTATGCAAGTATACTGTGGAGAAAAAGGGCACAAAATCCCCTAAAGGTGGGTGTTTAAATAATACAGAGAAATCAAATCCTTATTGAACAGAGCATGGTGCCATGGTCCTTTCAGACACACTGAGTTGAGAGCTCTAAAATATTAAAGTGATTTCTGATGTCCAGCTCTAAAGCAATAAAAATGGATCTTCATATTTTTATGTATGAATACTGGGCTTATATGATAATAATGGCCATCAGGAGGATGTTGCACATTTGCAGACCTGCCATTTTCAGTGCTGATATGCTACCCATATGTTTCCTTCTACAGTTTTGAGACCACTGAGGTTGTATAACAGCAGCTCTTGTTCATCCAACCTTTGAGTAATCTTCTTCAGCTGAGTACAAGCATGGCAGTCAGGACTTGTCTTGAAGGATTGCTTTGAAATCAGCTGTCACAGTTTGCTCTTTGTGGCACAGCAACTTAATTCTGTTCTGAATTAAAGGAAAGCATAAAGTGTGTTGAAGTAGTTTTAAAAGTAGGGGAAAAAAAGACCTCTCATAATTATGTTTGGAATTATGTTTGATTCCTGGCTTGGATATCTTTGGAAGAAGGGCAATGTAGTAATAGAGATGCTAGTTTTTAAAATTAATTTTTTTAGAGTAGATTTTTTCCGTGACAAACCCGCCTTGTTATTATCTCTGCACGAATGAATGATGAATTTAAAAAAAAAAAAAAAGGTAGCATGAGGATTGAGAAGCATTCTTTGAACTGGAAGTGATTTTGTCAAAGTCTTGAAGGGTGGTATTTGTTTTGACTTACAGCTTGCAGTTTTTTATTATTAAGGACACTTAGTTCTCAGCTTGCATTTATTACATAATATCAGCTTTCCATTTTATACAGACTAGCAAAAAATATTAGAAAATATATCTAGGAACATGAAACTTTGCACCTGTTTTTTAACATCAGATAAACTTTTGTAGGCAACTACAGAGGAGTACAATCCCTGAATTTGTTATTCTCTAAAACCAAGCAAGCTATTTGATAGATTTGAGAGAGTCTTGCAAAGCAGAGCCCTTAGAGATGCCCTACAAATGATTCATTATTTAGGGCCTAAACCTATTTTCTCTATAAATTCCAATTCAGACAGTTATTCTGATAACTATGTTAACTGAGTGAGTAGAAAGTATTATTGCAACAATAGAGCTAAACTATCATCTCAAAATATTTCTTTGGTTGGTTCTAATTCTCTACAGTTGAGCTGACATAGAGCCTACAAGTCTAAGCTGAAGCTGGAAAACAGTTACTTAATACATCATCAGTAATTTGATATTTAAACACTGGAAAACTATTAAGAATACAGTCAATATTAAGAATTGACAATAGAGTCAATTTTGGTGAATCTGGCCTGTAGCTCTAGTTTTTCAGGATACCAGTTTCCTTTTAGTTCCTGGGAGCTTCAAACCAAAACATCTAGGATATTTGGCATTGGCATGTATGGAACAATTTTACCCATATATTCTATAAAGTGAGAGACAGGTCTACTCATATGAGTAGATGAGTACTGGATTGTGCAAAACAGAGTGGAGTACTTCCATCTGCAGTTAAATACATAAAATAATTTAACTCTTAAGAAAGGCAGATAGTCATATTTATGTGTAATATATGGTCATCTATAGATCAGGTTATCTGCTTCCTCATAATTGCTAATTTACGTTAAATTAGTTTACCCCCTGTGTAGCACCGATATAATGGTTTCTGTAGTATTCTATGGAATTATATGTACTCCCTGATAAAGGGAAAACTAACAATAAACCCAACTATTCCACTGGAAAAGGCAGAAAAATAATTAATTTCATTATATGTAATGAAAATTCTGTCTTTTTTGGGAATCAATTTAAGTGGAGCTATCAGGGACTTCATGTAATTAGATATATAAAAATGTGTTCTGGTATTCTGCTGTATTGTGGCTTTAACTGCAGGATCTGAAGAATTTACCTAACAAATAGCCAAGAACTATGCTTTGTGGGTTTTGTTTGTTTGCTGGCTGTTTTTTTTCTTTATTTGTTTTATTAGGCATGTGAGGTACCTCTGATATGTGATGTGTAGATTTAAGTTTATGCTTATCCCCAAGGTTTGAAACATTCCAGTCATATGTTTCCTATCAAATATATTAAGAAACACTGTATGTATTTATCCATACAGCATGTGATGAATTCTGAAAGTCTTCAGATTTGTCTGAGCTAAATTCAAGGTGGAATTTCTTTGAATTTAACTGAATTCTGAGAACAGGTTTTATTTTTCTTTGAGTTGTTTTCATTGAGACACCTTTCACAGTAGCGTTATATGTTTCTAGTTTACTTTCAGCTCAGTTGGTGAGATACAATTGACATCTGGTCTACTGTCAGGATATGCCGGGTGATTATTACCTTGCAGCATATTTACCATCAACACACTGAATTATTCCAAAACATTTCTGCATTTTCAACAACACTGGAAGAAATGACTGAATGGCCTTAAGTATGTGAAAGTGATTAATAGCTTTCCAGAAACTTAGACATCCATTACTCCAATTAGATATCTGTCAGTTGGTACTGAGAATGAATACAAAATTCTTGGCAAGAATATTAATTCTGTGCATATGTTTTGTATCTATATGTTTATCTATCACTGCAGTAATACAGACACGCATGTTCACAACATATTGAGCTCTACTAAAATAATCACATCTTACAAAGAGTAGGAATTCAAAGAATAAGTTGTAACCAGGTACAAATAGTTAAATGTAAACCTCTTGTTACCATTCTAATTTTGTTGAGAATTGCATTAGTTCCCTTCTTAATGCATTTTGGTTATTTGCAATCAAATTTCATGTGAGAGGATCTTTGTTTTTTGAGCACTGTAATCCAGTCATTCCTCCCATGACAGATATGTATTTCTCCAAAAACTAGAACAATGACAAAAATATTAGCATGTTATTTTATAATTTCATCCTTTATCTTTAGATCAGCCTTAAAATAGCATTTATTTTGTGATAACACAATTGGAAAATATACATATGACAACATATATTTGTTTAATTTTTATCATAGAAATAAGATTAGTTTGTGACAGCATTTTGCAAATGACTGAAGTACTGCAGTCTAGTGGAAATTATTTGACACAGACTTTTTTTGTGTACACTATTGAAGTATGTTATACATTGTTCAAGACAGTATATTTGGTCTTAGACCAAATGTATGCATATACATTTTTGTGTAAATGTGTTTGAAAGGATTTAATTTTTCTATTAAGTATTTATTTTCATGCTTGTTATAATTTATTGAAATTTATTAAACAGGTGGGTTCAGAATTTCTCACACTTGTACCTGGATTTATCCTATCTTCATTTGAAACTTCCCCAGAACCTAGTTCCCCTTCACTTTCCTCTCTTGTGCCAAAAATCCCAGGCTCTTATGAGTATTGACCTAACTTGGACAATGGTACCTTCCCCAAAATATCTCTGAGAAAATAATTTCACGGTCTTGAGATGCGGAAGACTATCATACATGTTATTTATTGATTAGTATTTATTTTTAAAAAATAAACCTATTAAATATAAATTTCTTATAATTTTGTTATTGTTTCTCACAACTGGATCTGAATCAGGGGGAGATGAGGATTTCTGAATCTGGTAGTTCATCATAACTGAGGGGGGTCTTATTGGTTGTTACAGTTTCCACTCAAGTAAAAAATGTTCCACGTCTCCCACCCCCCTTTGCCCTATCTATACCTGATGGACAAAGGTTGGCTTGTTTGTGTTTTGAGGGCAAACAGGACTGAAATGGACTCTTTTTTTGGCATTCAGGATCTTAGAATTCAGTAGTCTTCCTGCTGGTGACAATAGAGTAACACTGCTAAGAAAATGCTGTATAATCTGCCTGAGCTCAAGAATGCCAAAGTATTTTTTTAGACCTCTTTGGGAAATGTGATGTACATAAACATGTATTCATACTCATAATGGCCTGTGGAAGTATGGTAGAGATGGATAAGGGAGATTAACTTGAAGATAGAGTAGGTCCACGTAAAAATGTGAAAGACTTGAATACATGTTTTTTAAATATATCAGACTGACAGCCCATAAAAGAGGCATCAGTTTGCAAAACTCCAGACTTGTATCCCAACTGTAGTTTTGCTGCAGTTATTGTTCATGCTGAAGACTTACGTGTTATGGTATTTTGCTTTTTAACTTTTATGGATAGTTCCTTCAAAATTATCTATCTCAATATAAAGCATTTAATGACTAGAAAACTAGGCAAGTTCTTATCCTTTTTCTGAGTCTATCTTATATAACAGTGCTTGTAACTGATTAATGGTTATTTACCAGCCCTGTGTGAAAAATACATACCTCGTGGTTCTTACAGGCTACACTGGGAAGGAAGTATGTTTTAACCTGGAAAGGATGATGAAGTGCTTCCTTCATATTCACAGCAGAACTAATCCCACTCTGGTCATGAATTCTGCGCCATTATAGCTCCTCTGAGGGTGAGAAATGTACAGGTGTTATTGGTGGCCTTATTGGAAATGCTGAGCAGGTGATGGATAAATTGTAGGTGAGAAGATGTGTTCAAAAGGGGGATTTTACAAATCTGGTTCTGGAAAATGAGAATATTCCAATTGGTCACTGAGATGCATTCAGTGTAATATGATTTTTCTCTCCAAGTTGCTGGTTTTATCTGAGTTGCACTTTGAACTACAAGTTTGGTGCAGAATCTATCTCATCTTTTTTATGTTATAGAGTAGGAAAATGAGTTGAAGTTAAATTAATACTGTCCTATTTAAAAAAATAAATAAAAGTTTACGTGTCTGATAGGTAAGAGCAGCATACTAAAGAAACAGAAATTTCCTTTCGAAATGGTGCTTGATCCAGCAAAATCCAATAAATGGAAAAGGGATACTTTCCACAAGATGGCGATGTAGGTACATTTTTTTAACTTTTCTGAGCTAAAATAAATTGTTCTGCAAAACCCAAGAGAATGTTAGAGGTAACCTAAAAATTTATAGCTGCAAGTAATTGCTATGTGTTTTATTATTGTAATTACTCAGATCCTGGGTGACACAGTAACTTCCATTACTCCTGCATTTTAGTATGATTTATTTAAAATACCTATAACTATTTTTTTGCCCTTTGTGTTGTGGTTAGAAGCCATAAGTGCTCTGAGCAATGAGATAATGCACGATGAAGGAACACAAAAGATGATGAAAAACTTTTGGACCTTTTAGCCCAAAGGTAAAATCAATGGTAAGGTTTATCATCAAAACATACAGAGTAAAAGCTTCTATGAGGAAAAAATATTTTGTTTTGATGTTAAGAAACAAAATCCTCCCCCATAAGTATTATTGGCTTTTAATTGTCCTACATTTTTTCAAGATAAGGCTGATAGGTTTTTTTGAGGGAGGTGAGTTCCGCCTGTGGGTTCCCCCCTCACTCCCTCCACTTATAAGCTGGTTGAGGGTTTTACCTAATTCCTCTGCTTAACGTAGAAAGGTGTCTTTCATAAGTGTTTATATCTGTGTGAATTGTGCTGCAGTGTATTTCATTCAACCAGACAGATCTCTCTCTGGCCAGTCAGAGTGGAATTTCGTGTGCACCCACAATACATATTCTGATCTTTAAAACTCCTTAATCATGGAGATACAGTGCAAACTTCACAAGAAAATACTAGTCTATACTACATGTAGCAGTGTGTCTTGGAGAATGTCAACCTCACAAAACTATTTTGCCAAAACCCCAGCTTTTCATCCGTGCCATTTTAGAGAGTCTCCAGCATAATGGCTCGTTGTGCACATGAGCAGCTGGTGCAGCTGCAAAGGACTGGGAAACACAACTGGGAGGCACTGAAGATGGCTAGGAGCCCTGCTCTCCAGAAAGAGCTACACAGGATATCTGCTAGGTCTTCTAATCTAACTCCCAAAAAGGGCTTAGATAGGTATTGTTTTGAACAGAGCTGGGAGGCAACCAAAGAGCCATGAGCCTTTTTTTTTGATATTATAAGATGTTAATATGTGTTCTGCCACACTGCTTTATAGCTGTTTTTAGATTGTTCAGTTGAAAAAATCAGGAATAATTGTATTTTCTTGTGGCCAAAAAAGGGAGTTTTATCTCTTGTTTGTTTGTTTTTTGAGATCTGACTGTTTTCATTTGTACAAAACTAGTGCACACATTCAAAAGAAAATGAAGGACTCTTAAGGTCCTAGTATTTAGGATATTATAGACTATAGAATATTTCGAAGTCTTGGAAATAAGCTATTCAAATTTAGATGAAATAACATCTTTAGGCACTCAAAACCTTACTGTGTTGTAGCAGTGCAAAAAAACTATACTACAGTCTTGGAGGCCTAAGAAGTTTATCTTTGTCCTTTTGGCCTATTTCTTATCTGGCTGGCACAAACATATCTGTGTGGACTTCAGGGAAGTGTTGAGGCTTTTAGTGCTTTACACAGGTATGTTACTGATTAACAATACAGCTGTTCTGCGTGTTGTATGTCTCCACAAGTGTATTGAGATAAGATGGAAAGAACATCTTGCCAGTGTATGGAAGATAGCCAACAAAGAATATGTTTGGTTAATCCCAACAACTAAACATATTTGGTGCAAATATGTTTACTATTTTGGTGCCCAGTAGGATTTATGTTATATTACCTAGATTATTGTACAGCTTCAATATGCTTCTTAAATTTAAATCAGCTTCTGAGGCTGGTATGATGTTCATGAATTTTGCTAGTTGACTGACAATTATTGTAGTGAAAACTGTTTGACAATATGTTTGTCAGTGAAGTCATGGAAATTTACTGTACAGGTCAACTACTGTTGTTTGCCTAGCATATTTCAGTACCTTGTTGAGGTCTCAGTCACTGCCCTGAGGAATTTACAATCAAAGATAAGTAGAGATAAGAAACCCACATTGAGTTTACTTGGCTGAAAATTGTTAGACAAACATGACACATCAGGCATGACAGATAACGTATACCTTGCATTCCAGAATTATTAAACCAATGAAAAATAATTCAAATATATAAATTAAATACAGAAAGAATTAAATTGGAATTAGGACTGGAGGAATACTGTAGAAAATGAGGTAGCTTGCATTGCCCAGTGAAGCTTTAAAAGGAGTGGAATTTTATGTTAAAAAAATAATATAAAAGCTGCAGAAAGGATTATTTTATTCTTCAGAGGAAACTGTTTACATAGATAAGTGGCCCGGAAAGGGTTGAGTTTCAGTAATACACATAAAAGTCAGAGTGAGAGAATCAAGGCTTAATGCTGAGATTTTCAATTATTCTTCAGTGTTTTGAACACAAAAGAACAGATATGAACTTTGTGTGGGATATTACTTTTCTGACTGCCTTCAGAAAATATTTTTTTCTTGAAAGCAATTTGTCTCATTTAGTTTATTGGGTCAGTGGGGCTGAGTCACGAAGTGTGTCAATTTCTTGGCAGTCTCAGTGCCAGCCCGCTCGATTCTCAGTTTTCTCTATTTCAGAACACACTTCTTCATCACATCAGTGTCAGTACTTCATGGAGCATTCAAGTGTAAGTCCTGCATAGTTGTGTGTGCTAAAATAGGCCACTGAATTTTAATCAGACTTAAAGTTGTCCTTTTGCAGCTCATCCAACACTGATAGTGATGTGTTTTATCACTTACAAGAAAATTGCTGCACATGTCTTGTCAGTAAAACCATAGTTATCTATGTAACATGATTGTTACAGATTCGTGGTCAAGGTTACCTCAATTCTTGCTCAGTTTTACTGAATGGATTTATATTGGCTTTTTGCAGATAAGTGGAAAAGATAAACAAACTCAAGAAATAATTTATTTCTTTAATTTCAAATTTGAAGATGAATAAGGTAGTTGGATTCAGTAAATCCAGATTTACGTTATTTATCTTCAAATGTTTTCATTTGTTCAGGTGGCAAAAGCTTTATCAGAAAAATTTTAAGAGGAAAGCTATGTACTGTAAGGAAAGAAGCAATAATCTTCCCAGTCTCAAGAGCTTGTAAAAAGAATTTTGGATTAAAAACCTGGAAGACTAGCTTTATCAGGAGCTTTGATGACACGAACTTTAAAAGGCAAAAGGAACCCACTTAAAAACTGGTAAGTAGGAGGAAGAGCCATCACAATAGTTAATAAAAGTAGGCACTGGAGAAAAATGATGAGAAGGAAGTCTTAGAGAACCTTTTCAAAAAAACAACATGGTGTATGGAGCAGGAGAAAGTGGGGATAAGAGGAATGTTAGAAGTGTCACAAATGATACATCACTGTCTGCAGCTACCTAAAGGGAGGTTGTAGACATATAGGGGTCAATCTCTTCTCCCAGGTGACAATCTATAGGACAAAAGGAAATGGACTCAATTTGTGCCACAGGAAGTTTAGATTGGATATGAGGAAAAATGTCCTCATCAAAAGGATTTTCAAGCATTGGAACAGTCTGCCCAGGGAAGTGGTTGGGTCATCATCCCCAGAGGTATTTAAAAGATGTGTAGATGTGGCACTTGGAGACATCGTTTAGTGCTGGACTTCGCAGTGCTGTGTTAAATGTTGGACTGGATAATCTTAAAGGTCTTTTCTAGCTTAAAGGATTCTGTGATTACTGAGTGGTCCAGAGCACGAGAGAATATGCATATGGTCCTAGCACAGAAGAGGACATCAGACTTAATGAAGGTCATTTCCTGGAATAAAATAAAGTCCGGTTTAGACTGTGAGAGGAAAGAGGGATGATTATTAGTAATTAGGTTTATCCTCCACAGCAACTATATTTGTGAATGTTGAATACAATAGTGCAGGTGAACCATCCTGTCTGGTAATCACACTCTGCATTAAATTCAGTAACAAAATTCTTGACTTTTCATTTACTGAAGGAGGTATGAGAAGTAGTGAAAAGTATCTTCTTATTTTTTTTTTAATTAAGTATAAGAAGTTATTTCTTCACTTTGTCTTATCCTTACCAACTCCATGCCCAATAAAATAGAATTATGTTATCTTATTTTGTTTTGGATCACTTCAATTAGAATAACAGTTCCAAGGGGTTTGTGCATTACTGTCTAAGCAAGCTCAGGAGTATATTTTAGTTCAGATGACTTCCCCAGCTTGCAGATTGATAGACCTATGTATTATTCTCCCATTCAGATTCCTACTCGCAAAACCTAGTGGGAGGAACAGGAAAGGGAAATGTCACTTGAATTAAAAAAAAAAAAAGGAAAGAGAAGAAAAAAACCCAACAAGACTATCAACAAACTCAAAAAACCAACTCTACAGGATTGGGAGGCTACTTTAGAGTACAGGCAGTAGACCACATAATTTTTCTGGGTAGCAGTTGTAGCTGTGTTATCTGTGACCTGGATACTAACTTTGTACTGATAGGAGTCACAGCAGGATATTTGTAACCTGAAGGTAAACGGTCCATTAAGGGATCATGCTACTGCATTGTTGCATCTACTGTTTCTGAAATCCTTAGCAAAAAGGTGTTTAACTAATAGTTCTAAGGAATAGCACCTTTTATTTTACACATTTCTAGTAAGGTGGTTATGTAAAGACTCACATGTGGAGCCCTGACAATCCTGACTTGCTCTGGATCTTATTATAAGCACCTGTCATATGTGATAGTGGTAGGGTCATAGCATCATCCTGAATCAGATGCATTATGGCACTAGTAATATGAACTGGAGTATTTCACTGGAGTCCCCACAATAATAATAGTGAGTATGAGTCAGTTCAGGAGTGGCTAAGATTAACTCAGAGTTTCGGGGAGCCAAGAGGTGATTCATCCTTTCAAATAAAGAGAAACTGCTAATAAACATTAATAGACATTTTCAGTTTTGTTTGCAGTGTAGCACTCACTGTAGACACTGAGGAAGCAATATGAGGAACTGAGAATGTCATACTAGCAGCTGTTTTATAATCAAGGACATGTATATTGATTTGTCACTGCTGAGATATCAGCACTCTGTAGTGTCAAGATGCAGCAACAAACTTTACTGGTTTTGCTACTGTAGCAGCTTTGTTTTTCACAGCCCTCACTGCTGTTGTTTCACACTTCAGATTTTCTGGGTTTTTCCATGAATTTTTGTATGCAAGTGCATATCAACAACAACTATGCTTAATTTATAGTATTTAAAATGACAAATGAGTCAGATACAGGAAAGGCATTCTAATGTACATTCACTGGACATGAGAATGAATTTGTTCTCCACAGAGTAAATGTATTTGCTGTTCCAACTAACAGTAGTCTTTGCATATCTGCCAAATAATTTTAATTGGGACCTCATGGTACTCTGCCTGCTGTGACATTAAGTCACTGAACCCCCTACTGCCTTGAAGCCATCCTCACAACTCAGTGCTGAGCTGTACCCAGGTGCTGTCCCACATGCTTCTAGCTCATGGAGAACTCTCTTGCTTCAGGCAAAAAACTGTGTGATGCTTACTTTGTTCCGCTGTCAGGCAATGTCTTTGACTTCCTTGCTGGTGTGTCCACTTGTAAGAGATTTTTTTATGCTTTCTAATCGTTGCATGTGTTTGGGCTGTTTTTATCTGGTCAAAGGAAAGATACAGGTCAGAGCCAGACTCCAGAGTATCATGATAAACTCCAACTGATATCCAGTGTGGTAGAGAGCTTTCTGTTCTCAGGAATTTTGCTCCTCCCTACACATTGTTCAAAGCCTGGTGCATCACAAACTGTCATCTTTTCCTGGTGTATTTAAAGCACGTAAAACTGCTGCTTTTGCTGACTGTGCAGTGCCTCAGACAATAATGGCCACTGCTTTTCCTTTGTCCAGCCAAAATAGGTTCATTGTGTAAACTAATAACTTGTCTTTCTTTTAGAAGCAGAGACAGGAGAGAAAGCACAAACAGTACTTTCACTGGCCCTACTTGTTTATGTCCTTGATTTTTTAAAACTTATTTATGAATTTTTTTCAGTATGAGGTGTTTTAAGTGGGCCAAGACCTATTTCACAAAAAAAGATATGACAGGGACTTTTCTTAACAAACATGCACTCTTTTTATCTGGGTCAGTTAATATTTTCAATACATGGTCTTTGACTATGTTTTTTGTTCTTTTTTTTTTTTTTTTTTTAATCAAGAAGAACAAAGCTCTGTAATTTTCATTGCAATTGGTTCTTCTGCATTATTGGTTTCTCACTATGTACCTGCTTTGAGGCTACCATTACACAAAAAAAGTCCAGTGTTTTTCTCAGCCTTCCTATTTGTCTTTTTGAACACAATTCACCTGTACCGAGGGGAAAACACTCAGAAATATTTTTGCAATTTGTCTTCTCTTTCAATGCTCAGATATCTCAAATTCAATATGTGCTCTGTTAAATGTTCATTAAATTCCTTCTCTCAAAAAAATGATTGGCTCAGATATCTCAAATTCAATATGTGCTCTGTTAAATGTTCATTAAATTCCTTCTCTCAAAAAAATGATTGGCTTAAAACTTCGAGACAGCTGTTTGGCTTGTGTCTATATATGCCCACATTCACAGGAAAAAACAATTTTAAAAAATACTGTAATGTACACTCCTGCTCTTATCACTTGCTGATGTTTTACTTTCCTTAAGTGTAAAATATTGAGTAGATAGTGATTTCAGAGAGACTGCATCTACCCCTCCTTTTTTATTTTTTTCTCTTTTCATGGCTTATAACAACCTGGTTTATAAATGGGGTTGAGCTGACTCTGCTTGCATATTTGACCTATATCTTGTTAAAAAATTTTTATTTGTCTGATTACATTTTTTTTGTTGTTGTGTGTGAATGTACTGATTTTGGCCAGGATAGAGTTAATCCTCACAGTACCTTGTATGGTGCTATGTTTTGTGGTTTTGGCCAAAACAGTGTTGATAACACAGGAATGTTCGTACTGTTGCTGAGCAGCACTTACACAGGGTCAAACTGTTTTCTGTTTCTCACACTATCTGGCCAGTGAGGAGGCTGGGGTGCACAAAGAGTTGGGAGGGGACACAACCAGGACAGATGATCCCCACTGACCAAAGTGATAATCCATACCATAAGGTGCCATCCTCAGTATATAAAGCTGGTGGAAGAGAAGGAAAGGGGCATACCTGGAGTAATGGCATTTGTCTTCCCAAGTAACCATCATGTGTGATGGAACTCAGCTTTCCTGGTGATGGCTGAACACCTGCCTGCCCATGGGAAGTGGTGAATTAATACCTTGTTTTGCTTTGCACAGCTTCTGCTTTACCTATTAAACTGTCTTTGTCTCAGCTCATGAGTTTCACACTTTTACCCTTTGATTCTCTCCCCCATCCTGCTGTCGGGGGAGTGAGCAATTGGCTGGGTGGAGCTTGACTGCCTACAGCAGGTAACCCATGATAGTAGGTTGTCTTGCTCCAAAGTTTTCTTATCCACTCTGTCCTAATGAATTTGGGCATATTGTGCTGCATGTGAAGAGTCTTATATAAGAGAATAAGTCTGTCCTTATTATCTGTTCACAAGTGGGTACTTCTTGGTTTCAAGTGAATAATCTTTTTGCATGGAAAACATTCAGATGACTATGTATAGGTACCACACAAAATAGCACAATGGACTTATCTGAAAGATAGATGGAATTAAGAGTATATAAATATTATTTTCTTTAAAATAAATGGAAAACATTACTTTTCTGATCAGTGAAGTGATTAATATATTTTTGTGCATTATTATTATGCATTTGTGTTGCTGGATTTATGAAATCAATAGTTTTGTCTCATCTAGCAACTCTTCAGAAAATAGAGTTGTATTATTGTAATAACGTGCATAACATTAGTGAATTTCTATCCCCCATAAGCATCAGGAATCCTTCTACCTTGTAAGCTGAATTACTTTGTACCAATACTTTATTTTTCTTTCTCTCACTTTCCACTTATTACATGTTACTTCAGTGGCATTCAGGCAGATTAACTTTTTTTCCCATTCTTTTTTGAGTACACATATGTAATACTTTTTCCCAGGTAGAACTGCTAAGTGTTATATAAATCTAAACTAAAACTGTTTACTAAAACTGTTAGTTACCTAAAACTGTAAGTTACTCAAGAAAACTATGCAAGTTTTCCCAGGTTGAGGCGTCTTTCTCCACACCTTCTTACAAAAGTTGTGTCAACT